CTGTAATCCCAGCTACTCAGGATGCTGAGGCAGGAGACTCGCTTGAACCCAGGAGGTAGAGGTTGCGGTGAGCTGAGGTCGTGCCATTGCACTCCAGCCTAGACAATAAGAGGGGAAATCTGTCTCAAGAAAAAAAAAAAAAAAGTTGGATTTGTACCTGGAACCAAGTGAAACTGAAGTCTCAGGTCTTCTGCGGTCAAGTTCAATGTCCTTCCACACTGACCACCTCCCAGCTCTGTTTTACTTCTTACTGCATTAGGAGGCATCCTGAGAAATGAAGAGTTGGTATTGAATATTGCTATCAAATAAAGCTTTTTTAAATTGGCCATTCTTGGAATTTTGTTCCATAGGGAATGTTTGATAGGGTTTTAATTCCTATTTGTTTGTAGTTCAGGTAATAGAGGTTCTTTTAAAAAGGGAAGAAAAGAAAATAGCTGTGTGAAATGTGCTAAAGTGCTTGCATGCACTATGTTGCTTTGTTTGATAACCTTTGGTAGAAGAGCTGGCATTTGTCAAAGCTGAAAACGTTGGCTTCTGCTCTGCAAGAGATTTCCAGCTCCCATTCTTAATGTGGGAGGTACCTGCAGGTACTCACCTGCCACCACACTCAGCATGATGATTTTCTACTGTGAGACATTTTCCATGTCCTTTTAAAAGAATTTTAATATGTAAGGGCAGGAAAACAAGGTGAACTGTATGAATTAGGTGAACTACATGAGCTGGGCTCACTCCTTTGCCTCAGCACTTTTATTGTTGTTGTAAAGTTTGTTTTTCCTGGTCCTAGATATCTGAGAGAAGTCAGCCTTTCCAAGCAAACCAATTATTGATTCATTATATATAAGAATTTAGCCTTTTGTGTGTCTCTGCCTATTATTAATAAGCTTTTTATTTTGAAGGCTGGTTGTGGTGACTCACACCTGTAATCTCAGCACTTTGGGAAGCCAAGGCGGGTGGATCACCTGAGGTCAGGAGTTCGAGACCAGCCTGATCAACATGATGAAATGCCATCTCTACTAAAAATACAAAAATCACCTGGTCATGATGGCGTGTGCCTGTAATCCCAGCTAGTTGGGAGGCTAAGGCAGGCAGCTTGAACCTGGGAGGTGGCGATGGCAGTGAGCCGAGATAGCGTCACTGTACTCCAGCCTGGGTGACAGAGTGAGACTCTTAAATAAACAAATAAATAAATAAATAAATAAACTTTTTATTTTGAGATAATATAGAGTCACATGTAGTTGTAAGAAATAATGCTTCTATGAACGTAAGCCTTCATTTCTCTGGCATAAATGCCCAGGATTCCAGTTGCTGAGTCATGTGGTAGTTGCATGTTTTATTTTTAAGAACCTGCCAAACTACTTTCCAGAGTAGCTATCCCATTTTACATTTCTGCCAGCAGTCTATAAGAGATCCCCTTTCTCCACAGCCTCATCTTCACTTGGGGCTGTCACTATTTTTAAAGCAACACAGTGTTCTATAGCCCGTCTCGGCGTGCAGCAGAGTTACCTCCCTGTAATTCCCAGCTGCATTTCCCTAGTGACTTGTGATCCTGAGCATCTTTTTATGTGTTTATTTTCCATTCATAGATCCTCTTCATGTCTTTTGTCCATTTTCTAATTGGATCGTTTATTTTACTGTTTAGCTTTGAGAATTTCTTATATATTCTATTTTTTGGATATATATTTTTCAAATATTTTCTCCCAGTCTGTAGCTTGTTTTTCATCTTTTTAACAGGGATGTTTGCAGAGCAAAAGTTTTTAATTTCCAGTGTATCAGTTGTTTATTTTGTGGATTGTGCTTTTGGTATTAAGTCTAAGAACTCTTTGCCTAGCCCTAGATCCTGAGGATTTTCTCCTTTGACTTTCTAAAAGTTTCATACTTTTATGTTTTGCATTTAAGGCTATAGTCTATTTTGAGTTAAATTTTGAATAAGGTAGGAGACCTGGATTGAGGTTCACTGTTTTTGATCTCTAATTGCTCCAATAAGGCTGTTCCTCCTTCACTGAATTACTTTTATACCTTTGCCAAAAACCAGTTGGCCATATTTGTACTGGTCTATGAGCAGCTCTCTGTTCTGTCCGCTTGTGATCTGCTTGTCTGCCTCTTTCCAACACTGTCCTGTCCTGATGACTGGAGCTTTATAGTAAATGCTGAGATCAGCTAGGCTGATGACTCCCATTTTGGTCTTTTTCTGTGGTGGCTACCTGAAAGTCTTTCTACGACAATTCTACCATCTGTGTCATCTCCGAGTTGGCATCTGTTGATTGTTTGCTTTCATTTAGTTTGTTATCTTCTGTTTCTCTGTGTGACAAGTGGTTTTTTATTGGAACCTGTTCATGTGATATTCTGAGACTCTAAGTCTTACTCAAACCTTACATTTTAGCTGACTTTCTCATACACCGCTGTGTCAGAGGAAGCGGGGATGCCGTCTCATTACTGCTGGATGGGGGCTAAGTTCAAGTTCCCCACTGGGGCCCCGGATACCTCTCTGTTGTGAGAGAGCCTCATTACTGCTCCATTTGGAGCCTGCACTGGCAGCACGGGGTAGCCTTATTTCCACCAGGTGTGATGGAAGTCCAGGTTCCCACACAGTCTTCCATGACTCTGGATTGTGATGTGGGAAGGGAAGTGGTTGTTAGTGCCTGGTGGGAATGAAAATTGTGGCTCACCACTCAACCTTGTCTGACACCACCCCAACAAGGGGACTCTGGGGTCATCCTTACAGCCTGGCATGGGTGGGGCATGGTCAAGGTTTTTTCTCTTGTGTTTGGCTGGAATAAAGCAATTCTTGTCTAAAAAGTTTTGTCTTGCTGGGCTACCTCTTTCCTGGTCCTTTGGCCAGAGAGAGCTGCTTTCATTGAGGCTTTTTTGTGTTTTGTTTTTCCCTGTGCCTACTGATGTTTCTGGGTTCTGGCTTTTTCAGCTCTATTTTGGGAAAATGAGCCAAAAGTAAAATGCAGGGTTGCTTCTCAGGTCCAGAAGCCCCCCTGGCTTGTCAGCTTTCAGTACATTTCTCAGTCTTTTTATGTGTGTTTTATGTGTAATATCCAAGGTTTTTAGATGTATTTAACGGGAGGAAGAAAGAGAAGGACTCCATCTTCCCACTGAGGAAGTTCCTTTGCCTATTTAAAACCAGTTTGAGCCAATAAGAACAGAGCTATTTGGACAGGCTTATTTGTTGTTTCTCCAGTTTATAGTTTGGGTTTTCAGAAGCACCTTGCGGTCGCTTTGCCTGTATAATCTCAGTGTCCTCACCCACTCTGTCTGTTTTCCCATCTTCATGGTATGCCCGGCCAGACCTCTGGTCCAAAGCTCAGTTTAGTGAGCATGTCCCCATTTTTCTGGCCTGATCCCTCCAGCCAGGAGGCTCCTGGGAGTACCACTGAGGGCTTCTGCCCTGCCTGCAGGAGTCTTGCCCTCTGTGCCTACATCTTACCTCCCATCCTAGACCTCAACCCAGTCACTTTGTAGCCGTCCTTCCATAATGGAAATATTAAGAACATTTACAAATACAGAATTGTGTCATGAACGCTGCATGCCCATCACCACCATCAGTAATTACCAGCCAGGGCTCATTGGTTGGTTTCATCTACACCTCATCTGTTTCTCACCACACTGAATTCTTTTGAAGTAAATCCTAGATAGTGTTCTTTCATTTGTAAAGTGAATGTATGTGTATATGTCACTAAAAGAGAACTACCATTTCTACACCTAAAATAATTCATTGTAATTTCTTAATGTAATCAGCTATTCAGGCAATATTTACGTTTAAATTTCAGAATCTGATTTAGGTTCTTGTATCTGGCACAAGTGCTTTGCACGTAATAGATTCTCAGAAAATATATTTTGAAATAATTAATGACTGTAAAATAGTAATACTTTTTAAACTATCTGGGAAACTTTCTTGATTAAAGGATTCTAAAAATAAACTCATTTAACTTTTAGAAACAAATCTGCCTGAAATATAGTGAGCTTGAAAGTTGTTGACAAATGATTTCATAAAAAACTGTATATGTAATATATAGTTTTAGATATATAATATTTGATATAGATATATAAGATACATGCATGTTTTAGTACATTTTAGTCATTCTAAGAGAAATGAATTTGCCTTTTGGTGATTTGTAATATGTTTTATTTGTATACAAAGTAACGTGGTTATAATATTTGCAAATCTTCTTTTTCCTCGATTGCAATTTGATGATATTCTTTGTTACAGATCATGTATTAATACAGTCTTACAAAGTCTACCTAAAATATTTAAAAAGAGGAAACTCTTAAATTTATTAATAACTAGAAATTGTGATACTTGTTCTTTGAGGATTTCCTGTGGTTTCTCCTGCCAACAAAATAGTACTTACATGTAGCTAGGAAATTAGATTGAATTTTAAGAGTGATATGCACTTGAATTTTGTCTGCATGAGGAGCTATTCAAGGTGAGAGAAAAGTAGCTAAGTGAGAAGCTGTGGGTGCTGGTTCTGCTGTGTGGCTTTAGTTTACAGCTGGAAGCCAAAAGTCTACCCAGACTAAAGGTAGATGGCAAATATGTGAGCGCCCTTCTGAGGCCTGTTGTCATCTGTTGTGGTGTGTTGTGTCCTTATTCCTCCTGCATCAAACGTCTTTCCAGGGTGCAGGCATCAGTGCCTTTGTCCCTAGTTCAGCTCTCTTCATGGCCCTCCATTGCCCGGAATCAAACTACCCTCCTCAGAGTGGTGCGAGGTCTCTGGGCACTGGCCCTAAACCTCCCTTGCTGGGACCAGGTCCTACCCTTGTCATCCTTCCATGTGGGAGAATCCACGCCAGAAGTCCTTTGCTGTACTGGAAGCTGCCAAGGAGGAGTGTTTTGTACCAGATGGCAGATCTGACTTCTCTAACAAGACCTAGTTCTTATTTTATGATTTCTTCCTTTAATTTGTAATGATGTCATAATTATTTCCTTAGAGTAGACTTCATATTACTTATATCATAGGTGCACTAAATGTTATATTCTTACTGTCTTTCAGACAGAAACAGTCTCCGCCAGTCAAGAAACCCTCAAAAGTATTTTGCCATGGATATAGAAGATGAAGAAAACATGAGTAAGACCTAGGCCTATCACATAGTATCAGATAGCTAATTTTATGTTAACATTTTGGTATTTTTGTAAATTTATTTCGTGAGACCAATGTGGAGAATGTGCTTATTCCCATATTCTGCTCTTCTGACAGTGGCATGTTTTTAAATTTTGGTATGTTCTCTGCAGTAGGTGTCCGTATTTGCTGCAGACATCTTCCCTGCAGCTGTATGCCTGGGTTTTTCCTTCCTTGTTATCATCATGGGGCATCACTGTTCCCCCTGGAACAGGCTTCTGGGTACATCTCATGAAGCCCCACCGTTTCGTGTGGAGTCATGTCATGGCGCGCCTCTCAGAATAATGCTCTGAATCTTCACACATGCAAATTGAAGATAAATGTCTGAGGTTGATTTAAGTACCTAGTCCTCTGCAATAACAGTACAGAAATATTTCCCTTCAAATCCAGTGAGTTCTCCTTGCATTTTGAGGGAAGGGGGTTCACTTGTGTCTGTTGATCTAAAGTTCCCAAAGGTGCTAATGAGAACTGGGACTGGTGTGGGCCTCCTCCTTCCATGCTGTTCTCTCTGGGGCCAGGGGGTTGGGGGGGGCTGAGGGGAAAGTCTCTGGGGTATATCAGCATTTCCTCTCTGTGTTTTCTTCTAAAAAAAGCTCGGTGAAGGTGCTTGTCTCTTCTAGTTCATCTTCAGTCCCAGAAAACAGGTTTAAATGCTTCCACAGAAGTTGGGTGAGTTTAGCAGAGAAATTACAACAAAGGCATCATTGCTGTAACTAATATAAATATCCATATTTACCTTCTTGTCTCAAGGAATAACGTGCAGCTCTAAATGATGAGTGACATGTCACTGAGAGGGATTATTGAGCATTAGAACTTAGCTCAGCACCTTTCCCTTTGACTTCACACAAAACAGATGATCTGGGGTCTTGGAATCACTCTTGTGTACCGCGTAGAACCCAAACCATGACCCAGTGAAGTGTTTCTGCGTGGTATTGCCGCCCTGCGGGTGTGCTGTGGGTGCTGTGGAGGGGGCTGGGCCTCTGCTCTGCGGACAGTACACTAAGTGTTGGCTTTGCCTGAAGTCAGCCGTCTGGGGTGTGAGGGTGAGACCACCTCCTGCAGCGCTGCCCGGGAACCATGGGACCCATGTGCTCACCTCACTTCTGCTGATGTGTGCGCAGCCCGGGGCTGCTGGTGATTGTTTTTCAGGTTTTCTTTCTCATCGATCCTGCTCTTCAGATCTTTTAAAAAACCAGCTTTATGTTTTTACTGGGCAACTCAACTCACTATTTCCAATTTTGCCGTAACTTTTAAGAGAGAGGTTTTGCCCATACTCCTCATTTGAGAAAATGTGGCCTGTGCTTGGACTGCACAGTAGCCCAGCGAAGGAGTGTGTGCCAGGGTCCCCGGAGTCTCTGTGTCAGAACTGTGGCCTGTAGCCCACAACTGCAGCCACCTCACATAGACAGAGGCTTCTTGATTGTGTAGCTTCTAGAACTATCCCCAAACTGACTCTGTGATAACTTAACACGATGAAGAAACCTCCCAAATAATTTTTCTGGAAACTCATGGTCTAGTGCTAAAACTTGGAAATGGTGGTCCTGCATTTTTTGTCATTTTGAAGGCAAAGCCCTATTATGACCAGTATTCACATCTATGAAATGCAGTAGCATGAGACCGAACGAGAAGGCATCGGTTTAAGAAGAGTTGTGAATGTGGGCATCTTTCTGTAGTTTTAGTGTTTTCCTTTATTATAGTAGCATTTCCACTGACAATGAGAGTAATTTCAGTATAGTCCTGAAGTGAATAACAATTTAGAATGTATGTGATTTGTGTTAACCAAAAGTATATTCTTCTCAAGATTGTCAGTCCAATAGTAATTTTTATTTCTGAAAGGAAAGCATTTGGTTATTTCAGAGGTTATATTTGATTAAATGCATGTCCAAATACATTTATAATGATTTGATTTTTGATATTGATAATTGTTTAGCAACAAAGTCAAAATGTAAGCAGTAATCTAGTATGTCATGTTCTTGCTCAGTTTATTAATCTCTGAATTCCATCTTGACTCTACTTTTTTTTGAAACTTTTGTTCCCTTTGAGCACCGAAAGGAGTAACCTATCGAGCTTTTGCTGGAGGATGTTATAAATGAAAATTTAATGTCCATTCCATCAGCTTTGTCAACTGGGAGAAGTGGTGTGTGTGTGTGTGAGGATCATTTTGGAGAAATTATATCTGTAGAGGAAGTTTTAAATCTCTTAGCCTCTGCCACAGAGTGGCATCAGTTTTCCCATGGGTTGTGTCTAAACCAGGTTTTTATGCTCTACTGTCTTGGCTGAATGACGACAGCCCTGGAATTAGAGATGTTTAACTGCAAAGACTGGCAGCCAAGGGCTAGGACTTGGTCCCTTTAAACCTTCCCATGGATGAAGCTGATGAACATTTTCACAACTTTTTCAGTTTGCTTAACATATTGAGAATCTATGTTTATACGTGTAGTAGAAATAGGCCCTAAAGCCACCATATGGGGCACTTGTAAATTGGTTTACAATTTTAGCAATATTTTGGTTACTTAAAAGATTTTTTATAGATTTTTGAAAATTAGTGGTAGGGGTCTTTAACTTTAATTCACATTGCAACCTTGCAGGGCACTGTGGCCCTCACCCCTGGCTCCATGTGACAGCTGCCCAGCCATGATGGAAAGGAATTGTTTATTCTTCTCCTTTTTAAAAGCTTGATGAACACTTTTTATTCTTTTTAAAATAAATTATGTTTATTTTGCCATGTAATTTTAGAATTCTAAAATTATATTAATTTGAAATCTAAAATACCTTTAAAAGGATAAACAAATTATTCTGGAAATTCATCAGATAATTCTTTTAAAAAAGACAAAATCAACAGAGGGTGTATTTATGAAGTTAGGAAGTTGTAGCCTGCATACAGCTGCAATTTTATAGCTTGTGCTTGTATGCTTTTCCTCTCATGGAATGGTATTAAGGATTCAGATTTAATCAGCCCACATATATAATGTTATCATTTTTAAATAGACACTAGAAATAAAACCATATCCTCCAAACATAACAACTAAATAGCCATAATACTTTACCCAATTACATAAGCAGCTTTTAAACATTGGTTCATAAACTAAATCAAATAATTGCATATATTGATTGAATATTTTAAACCTGAAAAACTATCTTGTGAATACATGTTTTTAAATAGTTTTTGCTTCTGAGAGACACTGCAATTTAAAACCCTTAGCACGAGGGTAAAGAAGAGTGAAAAGGAGGAAATTACTAAACTAAATATACATTTATCCATGTATTGATATTAAATTGTCATTTCATTAGACTCGTTAATGTAAGGTCTTTCTGGATTAATTTATTATCCCACAGTTTGATAAGACTGAAAAAGTATCTCTAGATACTTCAGTATATTCTCAGAAAAAAAATTATTTGAAGATTTTACTTTTTAAAGCAAAAGCAGTTGGTGACACTAAATAGAAATGGCAAAGTGTCAAATTACTTGTTTAGTTGAGGCCAGTAGTTCTTTAGCTAAATGTATAACTCTTCATGAATATATCCAGGAATAAAATTTATAAGCACACATCACTTAACCAGTTACAAAGAGAGCTAAAGGAATCTATAAATTTTGCATTTACAAGATCCTGCAACGAAGGCATTGTAAGTTACTCTTTCTGGGCACCGCAGGTTCCAGCAGCACTGATGTTAAGGAAAACCGCAATCTGGACAACGTGTCCCCCAAAGATGGTGGCGTGCCTGGGACTGGCGAGGGCTCTCAGCTCTCCAATGGGGGTGGTGGTGGCCCCAGCAGAAAGCGGCCCCTGGAGGAGGGCAGCAATGGCCACTCCAAATACCGCCTGAAGAGAAGGAGGAAAACACCAGGGCCCGTCCTGCCCAAGAACGCCCTGATGCAGCTGAATGAGATCAAGCCTGGCTTGCAATACATGCTCCTGTCCCAGACGGGGCCCGTGCACGCGCCTTTGTTTGTCATGTCTGTGGAAGTGAATGGCCAGGTTTTTGAGGGCTCTGGTCCCACAAAGAAAAAGGCAAAACTCCATGCTGCTGAGAAGGCTTTGAGGTCTTTCGTTCAATTTCCTAATGCCTCTGAGGCCCACCTGGCCATGGGAAGGACCCTGTCTGTCAACACGGACTTTACATCTGACCAGGCCGACTTCCCTGACACGCTCTTCAATGGTTTTGAAACTCCTGACAAGGTGGAGCCTCCCTTTTACGTGGGCTCCAACGGGGATGACTCCTTCAGTTCCAGCGGGGACCTCAGCTTGTCAGCCTCCCCTGTGCCTGCCAGCCTTGCCCAGCCTCCTCTTCCTGTCCCACCACCGTTCCCACCCCCAAGTGGGAAGAATCCCGTGATGATCTTGAATGAACTTCGTCCAGGGCTCAAGTATGACTTCCTCTCCGAGAGTGGGGAGAGCCATGCCAAGAGCTTCGTCATGTCTGTGGTCGTGGATGGTCAGTTCTTTGAAGGCTCGGGGAGAAACAAGAAGCTTGCCAAGGCCCGGGCTGCACAGTCTGCCCTGGCAACCATTTTTAACTTGCGTTTGGATCAGACGCCGTCTCGCCAGCCTATTCCCAGTGAGGGTCTTCAGTTGCATTTACCGCAGGTGAGGAACTATGCTATTGCTTGAAAGCATGTGGTCATTGCTCTTGGTAATGCTTCTAGACAGCATTTCATTTTCAGAGTTACTATTGACTTTCCACCTTGACATCACTCTGTCCCCACCAGGAGGAGTTTCTGGTAAGTCTGGCTGCTGAGGCAGCCTTTCCTTGATTTTGATGGTCACTGAGAAGCCGTCTGTATCCTAGCGCATGCTGGGTCCGTTGCAATGCAAGGCAGGACACCCGAGGCCCCGTCCACCAGGGCAGTGTTTACAACACTATCCATGACTCCCTTCCTGTGGCCCTCATCCCACAGCAAGCCTTTAGCAGGAGAGAGGGAAGATGAGCCCAGTCTTTGAAACTTTGCCCCCAGTTCAGCAGTATTTTCCTTCAAAAATCTCATCCAGGAATCTCACATTCAAGATAAGTGACACCAGCCAGTCAATAGCTGAACACCCAAGTCTGGGTCAGGATGGCAGCCTCTGGGTTCCCACATGACTGGCTGCTGGCTGTTCGCTGTTCCTAAGATGAGGAGCCCAGGGAAGCAGAGGATGAGCCAGCACAGCGGTGAGCACCTATCAGAGGGCAGGGAGGGAGGGGCCTCCAACAACTGATCTAAGGCCTGCCAGTTGCCTGGGGGTCTCTACTTTGAATTTCCTACATGAGGTCTATGAGGACTTACCCATTTGCCTGGCTGGAGGTGGGCAGCCACTCTTCCATTTAGCCTTCTCCTCCCTCCCCCAACCCAGTGAAATCAGGATGAAGGAAGGGGAAGTTCCAGGGTGGGCTCAGATTGGCTTACATGAAAGACAAAAAGTAAAGGAGAAAATAGCCTTTAGTTCTCATCTCTAAATCCTATAACTTTCTGATTATGTTTTGCTTCTCTTCTTGGAAATCCAAAATTCTTCTGGCCTATCGCAAAAATTATTCTTTTGACCTTCTATTTATTCATTTATTCCTTTGTATCAGAGTCTTCTTCACTTTGAAGATAACACGTATACTACATTTGCGGCTTGTATTCTCCTGGAAGAATCCAAGTATCTTATAGTTTCTTTTTTGCTGTTGGATATAATTAGAATAATCTCTGTGCAGTTGTAGTCTGAGATGCCCAGGAGTTCTGCTTTAAAGGAAGGAATTTTTTTTTTTTTTTTTTTGCCTAAAGCAGCCAAATACAACATTAGTTTAAAATAATATATTCAAGATATTTCACTGATTTTTTTTAACGAACCAAATAATTGCTTCCGTTATTAACCTCTTGTCAACATTGTTCATAAGAATTATTAGTCTGTTTGTACTTTTTCAAATCAGTGGTGCTAGATCCCATGTGATTTTTTATTTTCATGGTTACTCTTTGCTAAAATATTATAGCCTGAGTTCAAAATATTGTCTGATGTGACTTGTCTTCCCTTAATATTGACAGAGTGGCACATAAGACCATTGAAATGACATCAAATGCCGTGAATCCCAGATGTCTGGGCCTTGAGAGTGTAGCCTGGGAGCACCTTAGGGGATGCAGATAGAAGCACCAGTATAGACGTCAGCCCTGCCTCCCTGGCTTGGCTGTGTGCCTGCAGTGACTTTTGTGTGGAGCAGGACCAGAGCCCCTGGCTTGGGAAGGCTAGAGGGGCGTGTGTTGGTCTCCAGCCTGAGGGGAGGGGTGCAGGTGGGCAGGGCCATCCCAGCCCCCGAGGCCACTTTCCTCTGGGCTCTGTAGGTGATGAACGCCAGGTTCTAGACCTCATGTTCAGAACCACCAGGGCATGAGGGGATGGAGCTGCACTTCTAGTCTCTGCCACGGTGGACCCTGCCACCCTTGTGTCTTTGGAGCCCCAGAGTAGCTCAGGAATGTGACATGTGTTCCTCCTAGGATGACGGTGGCCCTCCTAGAACCAGACATCCTTATGGCTTTGTTGCTGGGCTCTATTGTCTTTCAACAGGAAATTTCAAAATGTGCATTCTAGGGTGGGTGGAAAACCCTCACTCTTTCTAGAGTAATCCTTGAAGGACATAGGTCAGACATCCCTGCATGTCATTGCAGGTATATGGTGCTGCCTGGGATTGTGTGGCATGGGTTTAACTCTTAAGAGCATGTTATTTTTGTTCTTATATCTGCCTCCCAAATTAAGAGGGGAGTCCTTCACTAACCATATAGGGTGAAACCAGTAATCCCCTCAAGGAGAGCTGAGCCCTGCCCTTGTGCCTAACGCAGGCATCAGCCCCAGCACCAGACCTTCCACCTGAGGCTCTTGGAACACACTCCGTAGTTTCATTTTTTTGCCTTTCTTTGAAAATTTGGAGATTCGCCTAATCTTATATGAAACAGAAACTTTTATTTCCTCTGGCTTATCCCTAATCTTCTTATGACTTTTTTTTCACCGTAAATTCAAATGCATTGCCCTTTCCCTCTGGCACGCTGGCCACGTCCTGTGTTTCTGCCACAGCCTCAGTTCGTTGCATCCACTCACGCCTGCAATGCAGATGCCACTGGCTGTGGGTGCATGAATCGTTGCCCCCAAAGCCTCTGTCCATTCTCCACGTCTTGTCTTGAACACTGTCCTCTGGGACTCACTGGTATTTGCTGGTACAATGATAAGAGAAAAACATCCTGACAGCTATCTTTTCTGTTCATTTTGGAAATATTTTATTAAGGATCAACCTGGGGATGCTGGGTTTTCCTAATGGTCATTTGATTTTCCAGGCAAGTATGATATTGATGGGACATGGGTTGAAACTGGCTCTTAACATGCACCTCCCAGCAGACATCATTTCCCCAAATGCCATGGGCTCATTATATCCAAGATAAACCAAATCCATCAGAACATGTCCGAAATCCAACAAATATGTCTGTTCTCAGAAGCACTTTCATAAAGGTGGTTGAGCATATACCCATGCAGGTGTTCCGAGCGTCTAAACGCTCTCCCTCCCCGTGCTATCCTTTGGTACGTGATTATATTATATATTGTGCAGTCTGAGCGAGTGAGCAGAGCCAGAGTGCATTTGTGTGGAGAGGCTGGAATGACTGAGAAGCCCCTCATTGCCCCATTGAGGGAGGTGCTGTGCACAGCCTGTGGCTTCTTTCACTCGATCACACCTCCAAGCTGCCCCTTTCTCTTGCCTGTGACATTGCACATCACCCTGGGCTGTGCTCCCAGCCACGTGTGGCCCTGGGACTGACTAAGCCCCACCATGTGTGCATGTAAGAGAGGGCAACGGGGGTGGGAAGGCCATTCTGCGTGGATGTAGGCATGGGCAGGTGGCCCTGAGCAAGCAGTCTTGTCTCTGTTTGCCTCAGTTTCCTCCTGAGGGCTGGGATGCCCCGCTGTGAAGATTGGAGGGGTGTTCGTGTGTGGCGCTCACACTTTACACTGGCCCCACATGGGTATAGTGAAGGACCCAACTAGAGCCTGGTAGGATCCTGGGATGTCTGTTTCCAAGGAATGTTCTAGAAGAAACATACACACATACTTGTTTGCCAGATTTACCTGTGTGGTTTTCCAGATAAGAAGCAGCCTGTGTCACTCCATAAGGGAGAGTCCATGCAGGCCTTCAGAGAGTGAGCCCTGCTCCCAGGTACACCTGGCCCCTAACCTGCATCTGTGCCTCCCACACAGGTTTTAGCTGATGCTGTCTCACGCCTGGTCCTGGGTAAGTTCGGTGACCTGACAGACAACTTCTCCTCCCCTCACGCTCGCAGAAAAGTGCTGGCTGGAGTTGTCATGACAACAGGTAACCATCTTGGTATTGTATGTAACTCTGCCTGTTTTCATGTCTGACAAAGGTGAAGTGTTCTCAATCGAGAAAAACCACTGTGACATACCATTGGGAGACGGTTTCTTCTTTCCTTCTTCAAAATGTCTGCCATATGCAAGCTTAGGAACTGCATTTATGAACTTGTTTCCCAAAATGTTCATCTTTTTAACATAAGTTTATTTTATTTGGAGAAAGCATACTGTATTAATTTTTTATTTCCGTCATCTTCGTCCTATGAATGGCCTCACTCTGCTCTGGAAGATGGCAGGGGGCTTACTAATTCTTGCTTTATTTGAAAGTAGGGCCTATCTATTGTATTAGTTAATGTTAACGATGCCAGATAAGTTTCTGTGTGACTTCTTCTGGGGAGGGAGAAAGCTCTAGCAAGAGTAGAAAATCTGTGGGGAAAAAAACACAATTTAGAATGATAGAAAAAACCCTATTAAATTCATCTAAAAGTTCCCAGTAGCAAAAGGCATCCCTGAATCCTTTTCCCACATCCCGGGAGTGAGAACACGCAGCAGCATCTCTCTGTGGGTAACTCCTGGAAAAGGAAACCACATCCCCGGCCAGTGCCTGGCTCCTGAGGGTGGAGCAGGACTCAGGGAGAGGACCCCTGTCATGTGGAGCCGCCTCTTTGCCCAGCATCTGCTCAGCCCAGCCTGGACAGCCAGATGCAGGGAGCAGGCCCTACAGATCAGGCAGGGAGCTGGGGACAGTTTCTCTGTCTACATTCACCAGCGCAGGAGAAACTCCCAGTTCTCGGTATGTGACTGTCTTGTCCTTTCTCCCTGAGGGGTCACCTCTATCAGACTCTGCAGTCCTCTTCACTGACCCACCTCTTGCTGTGCTGGGAAACCCAGCTGCTCTGCTCATGACCCTTGTTTCCTTGCTGTGCCATGGCCAGGGAGGAGGAAGTATCCAAAAAGCATCTTGGGTTTCCATTTCTATTTTAATGTTTTATGCCTGTGTTTTCTCCCCCTTCTATCTCTCTCCTTACTGCTATCTTTTACATTAATCAAAGGTGAACACCACAAGTACTGAATAGAGTAGTTCCCTAGGTAAGATTCCCTGCCTCTTCCAGTGACCTGGTGAGTGAGCTGGTTGTGTTCTTTCATCAGTTTTGCTCTATTTATTTATTTATTTATTTATTTAAACTACCTTAGAAGAGGCTGATCACCTTCTGGGAGCATTTTACATCTTAGTTTATATTTCACTTGAGACCACTTGCTCAGAGCCATAATTTATATCTGAAGCTAGGACCATGGAGCACTTGGCGAACCAGACAGTTGGTTCAGAGGCTCTTACTGGTTGAGTGGCCTTGGGCAGGTTACAAGGCCTCTGTTCCTCAATTTCCTCATCTATACAGTGGAGATACTAGTAGCATGAGCCTCAGAGGACATGGTGGGAATGCAGTGAGGACAATTTACCTAACAGACACGGTACATACCTGCTACCTGGTGTGTACACCACTGGTTCAGCTGCAGTGGATGTGAGTCTCCCCACAGGTAACTTTCAGGGTCCTTCATCATGCCTTTGTCAGTGGTTTGTCTCACAAAGTTGAGACAGAGTGATCTGCCTATGGGAGATCACCACTCCTTATGATTTCACTCCCAGTATGGTTAAATGGTAACAGTTTACTAATGAAACCATCACAAGCTAATTTTGTTTTCCTTCTTCTTCCTCTGGGTGCCATTAACCCCTCCCTCCTAGCCTCTTTAGTACTTTGATATTTCATGTCAAGATTAATTACCAGACCGGATAGTCCACCTTCCATAGTGTTGCCCACCTGTGTTCTAGTCGTGAGCACTCAAAAAGATGCTATTGCATTCCAGAGGAAATGCCTTCTGCGAGTTTAGCATCTGTGCACCAAGTAGTGAGGATGGTTAGCTTTCCAGAAATGTCACAAAGCCAGTCTTCAATAGGAGGTTGTTTGTAGTGCATACATTCGCTCAGTTAAAAAGTAAGTGGTAAGAATATGCATAAAGATGAGCTTGAAAAGTCTGTTGGCCCCTAAAGAGTTAAGTCACTGAGAGTAAGTGTCATACCTCAGGAGCAGTTAGGCAAATGTGACTGTGAATTATAGAAAGCAATGTCTCTTTTTTTACAGGTACAGATGTTAAAGATGCCAAGGTGATAAGTGTTTCTACAGGAACAAAATGTATTAATGGTGAATACATGAGTGATCGTGGCCTTGCGTTAAATGACTGCCATGCAGAAATAATATCTCGGAGGTCCTTGCTCAGATTTCTCTATACACAACTTGAGCTTTACTTAAAGTAAGTTTAGTGAACAAATAAGAGCAGGAAACTATTTTTTAAAAATACTCTACTATTAGAAAACATTGCAAAACCTTTCATTGTTTCTGTAATCATGGAAAAACACTCAAAATAATAACTTTAGTAACAATAAGGCTGGATCCCATTCTCTCATAATGCTCAACACACATATGCACACATACATACAATAACATAACATGGTCATAAATTTCAAGTCTGTGTTTAAAACTGTGTGATTTCGTTATATGCAGCATGAGTAGAAGTTCCTAAACTGCCAGGTAAAGATGGTCATTTTTATTCTAGTCATTGTTTCTAGAAAGAGCGAATAATGTATCCAAACTGCTTTTCTTTACAAAGCCGTTTGTTGTATGTGGTCTTTCTGTTCTGAAGTCATAAATTGGGAGAAGGAAAGATTACTCACATTTTGATGACATATCCATAATTGAGTGGACAAGAACTGTATTAATTACCCTAAACATGTAAAATAAATATTCCAGTTCAAACTTATCTTTCCCCTGTTGAAAATACTAGCCTCTGAAAATAATAGACTAAACTTTAACTGCATACAGTTTTAAATGTCACTTTTGCAACTTTTTTCCTTTCAGTAACAAAGATGATCAAAAAAGATCCATCTTTCAGAAATCAGAGCGAGGAGGGTTTAGGCTGAAGGATAATGTCCAGTTTCATCTATACATCAGCACTTCTCCCTGTGGAGATGCCAGAATCTTCTCACCACATGAACCAATCCTGGAAGGTATGAGACAAGATTCTTCAACAAGCCAGTTTCTCAAGAAAATGTGTCCATTTGTAGTTACCATTTGAAAGAACAAACCTACATTAATCTCCCTTTTCCTTTTTCTTCCTTTTAATTTTAGCCTTGGATGTGAATCTGATAAGAGTCTCTATAAAAGCATGGATTTTTTTCTTTCCAATTAATAATCAGAAAACTTTAATGAATTAAAAATGCTGATCGTAATTAACCAAGTAATTAGAATGGAGTGAGATACTGGATCAAAATTGTATCAGTATTTAAATTTGGGTAATAAGCATCTCTAAATCAGAGGTGTATGTGATCCTTCATATTTCTGATGAATTGCAATTTGCTAAATGTGTAATTAAAGTATTTATTTGACTGATATTTCAGAAGCAGATAGACACTAATGAAAAGTGAAATCACTATTATGATCATAATATGTTCCATCCTTCTTTACATTTGAGGTTAGCACTTTTGTTTTTTAGTATTTTAAATCCACATCCCTTCTCCCAAGTTCTTAGGCATTGCTTATTCCAAATAGAATATTTCATTATACTACTTTCCTTAATTATAAAAGCAACAGGCACACTCACTATGGAAAGTTGCTAAATATCTTTTAAATGTAAGAAAGAACATTAAAATCACCCATATTCATGTCACCCAGAGATATTCACTATGGATGTTTTATCATACTTTCCACGTGTTTATTTCTGCATCTATCTAGATTTATTTTTGAAATTTTAAAAATACAGAGGGAAAAGCATAACAAACACCCAAGTATCATCACCCAGAATTAGCAAATGTTAGCATTTTGTCCTATTTGCTTCAGCTCATTTTCAATGATAGAAATAAATCCTTTCAGTAAAAGTGAAAACCCTCTGTTTCCCCCAAATCCCTTGAAGACCGCTTTTGTGAATTGCTTTGTGTTATATCCTTCCTACTCAATTTTATATACTTCTTTTTTTTTTTTTTGAGACAGGGTCTCGCTCTGTCACTCAGGCTGGAGTGCAGTGGTGCAGTCATGGCTCACTGCAGCCTCGACCTCCTGGGCTCTTAAGAGATCCTCTCACCTCAACTTTCCCAAGGAAGGCAGCTGGGACTACAGGCATGTGCCACCATACCTGGCTAATTTTTATAGTTTTTGTAGAGATGGGGTTTCACCGTGATGTCCAGGCTGATCTTAAACTCCTGGGCTTGAGCAGTCCACCTACCTCAGCCTCCTAAAGTGCTGAGATTACAGGCGTGAGCCGCCGTGCCCAGCCTCTCTGTTTCACACATGTATGTGTATTTTGTATGTATGGCATATGTATATGCATTTATATGCACAACTATATTTTAAATTTAATAAGGAATTGTTTGATGTGCTTTTTAATAAATCAAATAGATGGCTTACTACCTGTGGGGTTTTAACTCTTTTTCTCTCTTAGAACCAGCAGATAGACACCCAAATCGTAAAGCAAGAGGACAGCTACGGACCAAAATAGAGTCTGGCGAGGGGACGATTCCAGTGCGCTCCAATGCGAGCATCCAAACGTGGGACGGGGTGCTGCAAGGGGAACGGCTGCTCACCATGTCCTGCAGTGACAAAATTGCGCGGTAAGGGGCAGGGCTCCCTGTGGCTGCCTCCCTGCACATGGGATTCACCCGTGCTGTTTGTCAACCTTCCTTTTCCACAACCATTTGGATTTTGTCCCCATTTCCCACTCAGGTGCTCCACAATATTCTTTGAAGGACTGAGGTTCTAAACAGGTGCTGCTGGGACCCTCATGTGGGGCAGAAGAAGGACTTATACATAGGAGGCTCCACACTTGTCATATTCCTATCCTTTCAAACAGGCATCTCAGAGTTTACCACCTATTTTTAACATGGGCTTCTGGGTTAAACTGTTGTTTTTAGAGTGGGCTACAGGCCATGACATTTTAAAACTATTTGCTTCTCCTCATTAGTAGTAGATGCAACTTCAGTGGTCACATTCATCATTCAGTTAACATTTTAGGTAGTTGATACTTGCATTTTAAAAGTAATGCAAACTCTGTCACAGGTGTTGTGTTCTAAGCACAGAGAGTGTCCCCAGCCATTCTGTGTCTGGGTGTGGGTTAGGCTTAGATGCAGGCTCTGCAAGCACACTTCTCTAGTCAGGAGGTGCCTGGGAGATATACATCCCTCAGAGGCCTGTATCCACAGCATATTATAGAAAACCCACTTCTACAGATAGTATCAGTTCCAGTAGTTCTTTGTTTTTATTTTTAAACTAATATTTATTTGGGAACAAAATGTAACATAAGCAGATTGTAGAAAGCATACAATGATAAAGTTAAAAACCTCGTTCTTCAGAGCCCTGCTGTGGTACCCATAGGGAATGGGTTTTGACTGTCCATCCAGAAGCTGTCAAAATTGACATATACACATGTGCACATGCACATCTTTTCATTGTTTGCAAGCCCTTTGTGTAGATTTCCTTCAGTGGGTCTTGTCAGGAAACCTCAAGTACAGGGAACTGGACTAATCACACACTCTGGGCCATTGCCCACAGCCCAGTGACCACTGTGATGTGTTTACTTACTATTTGTCTTTCCAGTCGACCTCCACATGTGCATACGTCAACTGTGTGTGTGTGTGTGTGTGTGTGTGTGTGTGGTGTATTCTCGAAAAATACACAATAGAATTATTATTTTGGGTGTTTATGTATATGTTGTTAATTTACAGAAACAGTATTATGCCATAAATCCTCTCTGTTTCTTACATTTTCATTCAACCTATATTTTTGGAGCTATTGCTGTTGCTCTAACCAACAGCCAGTTCACTACTAACTTTTGCAGATCTTCCTTCATCATCAAGGGCCATTTCCTTAATGTTGGGACAATCAGATTTCCTCTAACTCCCTTCTACATGTAGTCCTGAATATCTTTCAACTTATGCAAACTCCAACATGATATTATAGACTTTGCTAGAGTTTCTTGGGGCATATATTCAGGAGTTACGCACATATATAACTTCACAGAATAATATCAGATTGCATCCCAGAGGAGTCACACTAGTTGACACTTACACCAGCAGTGCATTAGTTTCTCCCATGTTTTATAAACTGATATCTTCATAGTTTCAATTTTTATTTCTCTTATCAGTAGGAATGTTGAGCATCTCTTCAATTACATATTAACTGTTCATCTTACACCTTCTTTGAGTTGTCTGTTAATATCCTTTATTCATTTGTCTTTTGGATCTCATGTCTTTTTCCTCTTGATTTGCAGAGTTCCTTTTATAGTTTATATTGTAATCCTTAGCCCTTTGAGAAGATGCAGTTTCTTCTCTAAGTCCTTTCCTCCTTGAGTAGCCTTGTCACCCTGTTGAAGATCATTTTAATATATACACCAGGGTTTATTACTGTGCTCTGTTCTATTCCATATGTCTATTCTTTATGCCAGCATCATGCTATTTTGATTACTGTAGCTTTGTAATATGTTTTGAAATCAGGAAGTTTGAATCCTCCAACTTTATTCTTCTTTTTCAAAATTGTTCTGGCTATCCAGGGTGTCCTGAAATTTCATAAAAATTTTTGGATGAATTTTTTTCAAAAAATGCCATTGTTATTTTGATAGGGATTATGTTGACTGTATAGATTGCTTTGGTTAATATGGACATCTTAACAATATCAAGTCTTCTGACTCATGAACATGGGATATATTTCCATTTATTTGTATCTCCCTTCATTTCTTTCAGTAATGTTTTATAATTTTTATTGTACAAGCCATTTACCCCCTTAGTTAGGCTTATTAAGTAATTTATTCTTTTTTATGCTATTGTAAACTTTTCTTAATTCCCTTTTCAGATCATTCATTGCATTGTTAGTGCATGGAAATGCAACTGATTTTTGCATGTTGATTTTGCTGAATATGTTTATTATTTAAACATTTTTGTGGAATCTTTATGGTTTTCTACATGTACAATTATGTCATCTGCAGACAGATATAATTTACTTCTTACTTTTCATTTTGGATGCCCTTTCTTTCTTTTTCATGCCTAATTACTTTGGCTAGAACTTCTAATACTATGTTGAATAGAAGTGGCAAAAGTGGGCATCCTTGCATTGTACCTGATCTTAGAGGAACAGTTTTCAGTCTTTCACCATTGAATACAGTATTAACTGTGGGCGTTTTGTAAATGGCCTTTATTATTTTGAGTTAGCTTCCTTCTACTCCTAGTTTGTTGAGTGTGTTTGTTATTATTGTGAAAGGGTGTTAAATCTTGGCAAATGCTTTTTCCGCATCAATTGAGATTATCATGTGGTTTTTGCCCTTCATTCTGTTAATATAATGTATTATATTAATTAAGTTTCATATATTTAACCATCTTTGCATTCCAGGAGTAACTCTTACCTCATGATGATGTGTAATCCTTTTAATGTGCTGTTGAATTTGGTTTGTTGAGAATTTTTCCATCAATAGTCATGAGAGATACTGGTCTGCAGTTTTTTTATTCTTCTTTATGTCTTTGGCTTTGATATCAGGGTAATGCAGGCTTCATAGAATGAGCCTGGAAATGTTCTCTTCTCTTTAGTTTTTTGGAAGAGTTTCAGGATTAGTGTTAATTATTCTCAAATGTTTGGTAGAATTCTCTAGTGAAACCATTAGGTTCTGGGCTTTTGTATTTTTGTTTTTGAGACGGAATCTCGCTCTGTCACCCAGGCTGGAGTGCAGTGGCATGATCTCAGCTCACTGCAACTTCCACCTCCCAGGTTCAAATGATTCTCGTGCCTCAGTCTCCCAAGTAGCTGGGGTTTCAGATGCTCACCACCACACCCAGCTAACTTTTGTGTTGTTAGTAGAGATGGAGTTTCACCATGTTGGTCAGGCTGATCTCGAGTTCCTGACCTCAGTTGATCCACCTGCCTTGGCCTCCCAAAGTGCTGGGATTACAGGCATGGGCCACTGTGCCCAGCCATGGGCTTTTTTTTATTGGGAAATTTTTTATTACTGACACAATATTCTTATCCATTAATGGTTGGAATTAATTACTTTTCAAATTCATTATTCCTGCTATCACTGGTTACCATTTGCATGGAATATCTTTTTCCATTCTTTCACTTTCAGCTTGTGTATCCTTAGATCCAAACTGAGTTTCTAATAGATAATAACACATAGTTGAATACTGTGTTTGTTTTTTTTTTTAATCCATTGACCCAATCTGTATCTTTTGACTGGGGAGTTTATTCATTGACATTTAAAGTAATCACTGATAAGGAAGACTTACTATTGCCATTTTGTTGTTTTCTGTATGCTTGTAGCATTTTGCTTGTTTTTTCCTTATTCTCTTACTGCCTTCCTTTGTGTTTCTTTTATGATTTTTTCTAATGATAGGTGTATTAGTCTGTTTTCACACTGCTGATAAAGACATACTTGAGACTGGGCAATTTACAAAAGAAAGAAATTTAATGGACTCACAATTCCACCTAGCTGGGGAGGCCTCACAATCATGGTGGAAGGTAAAAGGCACATCTCACATGGCAGCAGACAAAAGAGAGCTTGTGCAGGGAAACTTCCCTTTATAAAACCATCACATCTCATTTTACTTATTCACTATCATGAGACTAGCACGGGAAAGACCCACCCCTGATTCGATTTCCTCCCACTGGGTCCCACCAACAACACATAGGAATTGTGGGAGCTGCAGTTCAAGATGAGATTTGGGTGGGGACACAGCCAACCCATATCAATAGGATTTGTTTTTTTTGTTTTTTTTTTCCTTTTGTCTGCCTGGGGTACAGAATCTCATTTTTTTGTGTGTATATTCTATAGGTATTTGCTTTGTGGTTACCATTGCGATTACATAACACATCTTAAAATTTATAGCATGTTATTTTAACTGAAGCTTCAATTACATAGTAAAAAATTACTTCTTTACTTCCACCCCTTCACATTTTGTTATTGATTTCACAAATTACATCTTCATATATTGTATATCCATTAATATAGATTGTATTTTTAATGTTTTTGTCATTTAAATGTTACGCACCAAAATTACAATAGTACTGGTTACTGTATTTGTTCATGTCCCTCCCTTTACAGGAGAACCTTATATTTTCATACAGCTTAATGTTGCTGTTTACTGTCTTTTTATTTCAACTTGAAGGACTCCCTGTAGCATTTCTTGTAAAGCAGGCTAGTGGTAATGTACTCCCTCTACTTTTGTTTATCTGGAAAAGTCTTAATTTCTTCTTTATTTTTGAAGGACAGTTTTGCAAGATAAAGTATTCTTGGTTGACAGTGTTACTTTTTTTTCTTTCAGCACTTAAAATATATCATTCCACTCCTTTCTGGCTTGCAAAGTTTTTTCTGAGAAAGCCACTGATCTTATGAATGCTCCCTTGTATGTGACCAATGGCTTTTCACTTGATGCTTTTAAGATTCTCTGTCTTCACTTTAGACAGTTTGATTGCAATGTATCTTAGTGTGGTTCTCCTTGAATTTATCCATATTTCATTTATTTGAGCTTGAACTTGTATGGTCCATTTCTTTCCACAGATTTGGGAAATTTTTAGCTATTATTTCTTCAAATAGGCTCTTAGCCCTTTTCTATCCCTCTTCTCCTTCTGGTAT